GTCACTCCCTTCACGTTGCTCCTCCCATCTCTCCTCCTGTCACTCCCTTCACGTTGCTCCTCCCATCTCTCCTCCTGTCACTCCCTTCACGTTGCTCCTCCCATCTCTCCTCCTGTCACTCCCTTCACGTTGCTCCTCCCATCTCTCCTCCTGTCACTCCCTTCACGTTGCTCCTCCCATCTCTCCTCCTGTCACTCCCTTCACGTTGCTCCTCCCATCTCTCCTCCTGTCACTCCCTTCACGTTGCTCCTCCCATCTCTCCTCCTGTCACTCCCTTCACGTTGCTCCTCCCATCTCTCCTCCTGTCACTCCCTTCACGTTGCTCCTCCCATCTCTCCTCCTGTCACTCCCTTCACGTTGCTCCTCCCATCTCTCCTCCTGTCACTCCCTTCACGTTGCTCCTCCCATCTCTCCTCCTGTCACTCCCTTCACGTTGCTCCTCCCATCTCTCCTCCTGTCACTCCCTTCACGTTGCTCCTCCCATCTCTCCTCCTGTCACTCCCTTCACGTTGCTCCTCCCATCTCTCCTCCTGTCACTCCCTTCACGTTGCTCCTCCCATCTCTCCTCCTGTCACTCCCTTCACGTTGCTCCTCCCATCTCTCCTCCTGTCACTCCCTTCACGTTGCTCCTCCCATCTCTCCTCCTGTCACTCCCTTCACGTTGCTCCTCCCATCTCTCCTCCTGTCACTCCCTTCACGTTGCTCCTCCCATCTCTCCTCCTGTCACTCCCTTCACGTTGCTCCTCCCATCTCTCCTCCTGTCACTCCCTTCACGTTGCTCCTCCCGTCTCTCCTCCTGTCACTCCCTTCACGTTGCTCCTCCCATCTCTCCTCCTGTCACTCCCTTCACGTTGCTCCTCCCATCTCTCCTCCTGTCACTCCCTTCACGTTGCTCCTCCCATCTCTCCTCCTGTCACTCCCTTCACGTTGCTCCTCCCATCTCTCCTCCTGTCACTCCCTTCACGTTGCTCCTCCCATCTCTCCTCCTGTCACTCCCTTCACGTTGCTCCTCCCATCTCTCCTCCTGTCACTCCCTTCACGTTGCTCCTCCCATCTCTCCTCCTGTCACTCCCTTCACGTTGCTCCTCCCATCTCTCCTCCTGTCACTCCCTTCACGTTGCTCCTCCCATCTCTCCTCCTGTCACTCCCTTCACGTTGCTCCTCCCATCTCTCCTCCTGTCACTCCCTTCACGTTGCTCCTCCCATCTCTCCTCCTGTCACTCCCTTCACGTTGCTCCTCCCATCTCTCCTCCTGTCACTCCCTTCACGTTGCTCCTCCCATCTCTCCTCCTGTCACTCCCTTCACGTTGCTCCTCCCATCTCTCCTCCTGTCACTCTCTCCCTTCACGTTGCTCCTCCCATCTCTCCTCCTGTCACTCCCTTCACGTTGCTCCTCCCATCTCTCCTCCTGTCACTCCCTTCACGTTGCTCCTCCCATCTCTCCTCCTGTCACTCCCTTCACGTTGCTCCTCCCATCTCTCCTCCTGTCACTCCCTTCACGTTGCTCCTCCCATCTCTCCTCCTGTCACTCCCTTCACGTTGCTCCTCCCATCTCTCCTCCTGTCACTCCCTTCACGTTGCTCCTCCCATCTCTCCTCCTGTCACTCCCTTCACGTTGCTCCTCCCATCTCTCCTCCTGTCACTCCCTTCACGTTGCTCCTCCCATCTCTCCTCCTGTCACTCCCTTCACGTTGCTCCTCCCATCTCTCCTCCTGTCACTCCCTTCACGTTGCTCCTCCCATCTCTCCTCCTGTCACTCCCTTCACGTTGCTCCTCCCATCTCTCCTCCTGTCACTCCCTTCACGTTGCTCCTCCCATCTCTCCTCCTGTCACTCCCTTCACGTTGCTCCTCCCATCTCTCCTCCTGTCACTCCCTTCACGTTGCTCCTCCCATCTCTCCTCCTGTCACTCCCTTCACGTTGCTCCTCCCATCTCTCCTCCTGTCACTCCCTTCACGTTGCTCCTCCCATCTCTCCTCCTGTCACTCCCTTCACGTTGCTCCTCCCATCTCTCCTCCTGTCACTCCCTTCACGTTGCTCCTCCCATCTCTCCTCCTGTCACTCCCTTCACGTTGCTCCTCCCATCTCTCCTCCTGTCACTCCCTTCACGTTGCTCCTCCCATCTCTCCTCCTGTCACTCCCTTCACGTTGCTCCTCCCATCTCTCCTCCTGTCACTCCCTTCACGTTGCTCCTCCCATCTCTCCTCCTGTCACTCCCTTCACGTTGCTCCTCCCATCTCTCCTCCTGTCACTCCCTTCACGTTGCTCCTCCCATCTCTCCTCCTGTCACTCCCTTCACGTTGCTCCTCCCATCTCTCCTCCTGTCACTCCCTTCACGTTGCTCCTCCCATCTCTCCTCCTGTCACTCCCTTCACGTTGCTCCTCCCATCTCTCCTCCTGTCACTCCCTTCACGTTGCTCCTCCCATCTCTCCTCCTGTCACTCCCTTCGCGTTGCTCCTCCCATCTCTCCTCCTGTCCCCCCTCCTGTCCCTCCCCCCCTCCCTCGTCCCTTCTCTCCTCTCGTCCCTCGTACCCTCCCTCCTCCCATCCCTCCTCGCCTCCCTCCTCCTGTCCCGCCTCCCATCCCTCCTCGCCTCCCTCCTCCCGTCCCGCCTCCCATCCCTCCTCGCCTCCCTCCTCCTGTCCCGCCTCCCATCCCTCCTCGTCTCCCTCCTCCCGTCCCGCCTCCCGTCCCTCCTCGCCTCCCTCCTCACCTGCCTACCATACCATCATCCTCCCATTTCTGTCCGCCTATATCCCCCTCATCACATCACTCTGCATCGTCATAGTCGCAAGAACCACCACACTGCCGTCCGCTTGTCAACCCAATGCTGCTCAACGCTCCGCTTTCCACCATCTCTCTCCGCCCAACGCACCATCTCAACGCCTTTCCGTACCTCCCAGCCACCTCCCACCACCTCTGTCCAACTTACCCACCTCCCTCACCTCGTCCCACCTCTCCCCACCTCTCCCCACCTCTCCCCATTTCTCTACCTCTGCCCGCCTGTCCCTCCAGGCACTATGCGCTTAGTAGAGTGGTGCACGGAGCAGGGATGTCCCTCCCTCTCTCCTTCCCCTCCAACCCTGCTCATCCCACCACCACGGGTGCCGGTGCTCCTGCTGCTGCTCCTGCTAGTGCTGAAACGGCACCCAGCACCACCAGCATCAGCACTGATAGCAGGACCTCAGCTGCTGCTGCTGCTGCTGCTGCTCCTGCACCTGGTGCTTCCTCAGATGATGCTTTTGCTGGTACTGATGGTGCTAGTGCTCCTGCTGCTGCTGCTGCTGCTAGCTCAGGCATTGAAGATGCAGAGCAAGGGGAAGAAGCACTAGTAGCAGGGGCAGGGGCAGGGGCAGGGGCAGGGGCAGGGGCAGGGGCAGGGGCAGGGGCAGGGGCAGGGGAAGAGGCGTCTCGGGGAGACGCAATCGAGAGAGAGACATCAGGAGGTGAAGGTGGGGCGAGTGGGGTGGCTGGTTCTGTGGAGGGTAGCGGCAGCTGAGAGGCGGCTGGGTGAAGGATACTAATGTGGTTAGTATGGTGAATGAGGATGAGAGAGCATGTGAACAAGCATGAACGATACAGATGTGGCAAAATTTGGTCGGATTCAAGCCTGTCTGGTCTAGTAGTCTGGACGGTGGATGCTGGGGGGAAGGGGGAGGAGGGGGTTAACTGCTGATATAGCTAGCTAGTTGACTCTTGGATGCAGTGTGGTTTGGAGCTGTTGAAAGTGGTTTATGGTAGTGCATCTACATATTGTAAGTTGTGGTAACCAATGCATGACTGAGTTGGATTTGTAGATGCTGTATACATTCAAGTCATCTGTGAAACTGTCATTCAGATTATGGAAACTTGTGTGCAGCACCTGGAATCTATAACGGTATGGTACTGACGTCTCAACCTCAACCCCAAGAAATGAGCAGCACCTGTAATTGCCAGCAACAGGGATGGCAAACATGTGCTACTCTAGCCATCACCATTCTCGGCAATCAAGCAAACTATTGTTGTACAGTCATAGCAACTCAAGTTTCCAAAGAGCACTTCATGCAAACCCACTCACCACAGCATCACCAATCAACGGACACATAGAAAGCAAGAATGAAGGAACAAATGCAGAAAGCCAAGGCACAAATGCAGAAAGCCAAGGCACACAGAGAAACTATAACCAAATCTGCACCACCGAATCCCACCGTACCGCACCGCGCTAACCCAAGCAGACCCTCCCTAAAGCAAATCCCTAGTACGCCGCCCATCCCAACAGCTGAGCTGTACACTGCGCAATTGGCCCAGCCCTTTCAAATCAGTGTAAAACAATTACCTCCCAGCCGTAATCTTTGCTGTCGAGATTCCCTAGTTTCCGCTCCACCAGTTAGACACCCTCGGTCCCTTCCAGCCTGGCTTCTTTCCGGTTCCGGGCTTCTTCTTGGGAGGTCCGGTGGAGGTAGCGGCGGGAAGGGGCGCGTTGAGGTCTCGGATTTTCCCATTGAACTTCTTGTGGTAGAGAATCTGAGACAGTTCCGAATCTTCAGGGATAATATCAAAAGTGTTCTTCCACCAATCGCCGACATCCTTGCCGAAGTTGGATTCTGCCGTGGAGAGAGCAGCAGCCATAGCGCGCACCTGTTTCTGAGGCCCCACCCTGCGACGGCTACACGACATGAAATTCGGATACTTCTGATATATCATATCGGAGAGATTCGACACGCCGAAATCATCCCCGGTGAAATTATCAAACTTGAAGTAGGTCGGCGGGTAGTTAAACGACACCGAGGTGATGTTGTTGGTGGGCACGACAGACGGGAGAGCATCGCAGTTAATATAATACGGGTTCCAGCGGCCGTTGGTGCCATTGATGACAGTCAGCTCGATGTGGTTCAGCCCAGGCACGCCGCTGCACTTGCCCGTGTAATTGTAATCCGCGGAGCGCTGCTTACCCATGGTGGAATAGGAGAGGAACTGCGAGCAGTAGCCCGTCCAGTTCTTGGGAAGCTCGATCGGGGGGTCAGGGTTGCACGGCTGTCCCATCCACTCTGTGCGGTTGCAGAGGCCCGAAAGGAAGGGCCAGTTCTGATGAGGGGAGGGGAGGAGAGGGGGGCAGAGGGCCGGGGAACGGAGGGGGCAATAGAAATAAAACGGGGAGAAGAGTGAGTCGCACACAAAAAACCTAGTGAAGGGAGAAGTAAAAATAAAAAGTTAGTGGGGGGGGGGGGAAAGGAAGGGGAGGTGCAGGTAAGCGGGGAGAATATTGAGGAGTTGGGAGGAAGGGAAGGTCGGAGAGTAGAGAAGGAACACGACCAGTTACCTACCACAAACTACGAAAGACAAAGTCGAGCAAGTCAAGCAGAGATACGGAGCCAATACCGACAGTGCTCGCTCAAAGATCCGGTGTCACATTCTCACCCCCATAACCAACCCAAAGACACTCTCCCATATGGCCCCATAACCACCACCAACCCCCCCCCCCCCACACACACACGCACACACGCACACACACACACAGACACACCTTGCGCCAGCCGGGAGTGTCAAAGCGAGCAACATAGGCGCTGTACCACTTGTAACCAAGACCGCGGCCGGCCCACGAGTTGCAGTTGTTGTCGCACCAGTTCTGACAGCTCATGATGCCTGACTGCCACTGCGGATTCACCACCAGGTAGCTCTGCACCTTGTTGCTGCTCGCACGAGGGACGAGGGCCGCGAGGAGAGGGCAGAGAGGGAGAGGGCACGAAGGGGAAGGGTAAGGCAACAGGGGAAAGCAGGGAGAAGGGGACCACCAGCACGTTGGGTAGGTTGAGTGGGTTGTTGGTGAGTTGGGTGAGGCGAGTGCAGGAAAAGGGGCGTAGAGGAGGCCGGAAGCCTATGGGCCAAGACGCAGAGCAACGCGCAAGAGATGAACGTGGAGGGAAGTGGGAGGGAGTGTGGGGAGAGGAGGGGAGGGGAGGAGGCAAGGCATTGGAGAGAGAGAGAAAGAGAGAGAGAGAGAGAGAGAGAGAGAGAGAGAGAGAGAGAGAGAAAGGGGGACTTAGCCTCTTCCCTCCTAGCCTCTTCCCCTTCCCCCAGCTATATAATGGCCAGCCGGCACCTTCCCTAGCTCATTATTCATTTGGTGATTCCAATTTTTCCGGTGCTCGTTTCGAGAGAGCGAGAGAGAAAGGGGGACTTAGCCTCTTCCCTCCTAGCCTCTTCCCCTTCCCCCAGCTATATAATGGCCAGCCGGCACCTTCCCTAGCTCATTATTCATTTGGTGATTCCAAATTTTCCGGCGCTTCGCGCCGGCGGCCTTCGGCCGCCGGCGCTCGCGTGCGCGGCCTACGGCCGCGCATTTTAGGAGGCAAGCTTAGGTAACGGGACAACTTTAGCAGACAGCATGGCGACAAACATCATCAACTAGCAGGCATCATGGAGAAGGTCTACACAAGACAAAGGGGGGCACCTACATGCGGTCCGCCCCCAGAAACGAGAGCATTCCGCGCGTGGTCTGCCACAAGTGGCGGACCACTGACACGCAGGCGGTTAGAGCATCTCCGGGTGTGCCTTCAACCGACCCTGCAATGTGCCTCAGATCCAGGGCCGCGCGAGCCAGCAGGTTGGCCGCGTCTGCACCCGGGGAGGGCGCTGCCTGCAGTGGCGCCAAGAGGGATAGGATCTCATCCGCCGCCCCCAAGCACGCTGCTTGCGGTTTCTCAGCAAATGTGCTCAGGCGGGATATCGGCATCGACGCACGAGTCGACCGGAGAACACGCGCCAGTGCCTCTAGGCACTCCGACAGTATCCACAGCTGACGCAGGGTCGCCGTGGAACATGAATACTCCGCCTCCTCAAGGCGAGGACGAGGGTCACGATACGGACCCCTTGCTGGGCCTCCGCCAGCGCCAACAAAACCCGGGAGAACAGGCGGCTGCTGGACAGAGCGCTGCGGGGACACCGCACGGTTGGCTACCTCGACAATGGCGGGAAGAGAACGAGGAGCGTCTGGCGGAACGGAGCGACAGGCTGTCGCCGCCTGCGACTCACGGAGAGCAGTTGCGAGCACGTCCGGAAGCCTCTCCAGGGTGCGCGCAAAGTCCGACGCAGACTGGCGACCCCCGCCCCCGCATCCGCGGCCCCCGCGACTGCCACGCCGCCCACGACTATTCGACCACGAGCGGGCTGGAGATTGGGGCCGGGACGTGCTGCGCGGGCGGAGCGCAGGGGATCGCTCACGACACGATGGAGAATGGCGCCGCTGGCGCTTCACCGGCGATTCGCGCGGAGAACGGCGAGCAGGAGAGCGACGCCCTGAGGATCGGCGCGCGGGTGAATGACAGCGAGGCGAATGGCGAGATTGGGAACGGTGACTTGGCGAACGACGCCCAGGGGAACGGCTGCGGCTCCCCTGACGACGAGGGGAGCGACGCTCGCGGCGATCTTCACGCCGCCCCTCGCAGCGTTCGTCACGAGGCTCAGGCGTCCGACGACGCGGAGAACGCCCCCGGTGCGGCTCCGCCAAGGCGCCAGAACGCACAGCGGACTCCGCGCGGGTTGCCACTCTCGGAGGCGAATCAGCGACGCGCGGACAGGGAGGACGGCGCTGGTCCTCAAATCGGCGCCGGATTTGGTCCGCAGCAGCGGGAGGACGAGCAGGAACGCTCACCGCCGGGCGTGGCGGAAGCACAGGTGCACTCTCCGCGGTACACTCGCGGTCGTGGGCGGACGGAAGCGCCATCTGCGCAAGCACAAGGCGCAATTCCAACACAAGGGGAGCCTACAACCCCGACTTTCCCCACGCAACAGGCGGCGCTAGCAGCAGGGACCCCGCAGAGCGGACGGGGAAGCGCGCGGGGGAGAGGATCGCGACGAGGAGCGCGCGGAGGACAGAGGAGCGCAGGTCAAGCGGCGAGGGGGCGCGGGCGCCAACCACCGAGCCCAATCTGGCTAGGGGAGCCGGCGGAACGAATCACGCGGCAGTCGTTCGCTAGGCGCGGGGCGAGAGGTGGTGCACCAGCGCAAGCAGGGAGGAACGTCGATATCATCAGAGAGGCGAGAGACGAGGACTATATACCGTCAGATCTGAGGCAACCAGACAATCCCGACTCACCTCGCGCGGAATCAGGAGAGGAGGTGGCGCAGCAACAGGAGAGAGGAACCAACCGCAGACAGCAGCGCAGAGCCCAGCCCCCACCGGACCAAGCCCTATCTGCGTCCCAACTGGCCTCGCGGGAGGATCTTTTCCAGATCACGATGACCTGGGACCTTACGCTCCTAACATCCATCACCCACCAACCAATCGTCCGCCGACTGCCGCCGCAGATCCTCTGCGACTACTCCACCTGTATGCTGGCTGCCTTACTACGGATCTCAAAGCTGCCTTATTGCGCGGGAGCGTGGCGGGTCCTCATGTTCCTGCCACGTCTCACGCTAAGACTTAGCCGGAGATCCAGCTCTAGGTGGAAACTGTTGCGGGCACAGATGCATCTATTCCGATGTGGACACTGGACCCAGCTGTACACCGAATACTTGGGGTCAATGCACCTGGCCGAACCACCTCAGCACCAACGTGACCCGCTGGGAATCTGCTCACGTGCGGAGGGGTTGGTGAAAAGGGGTAACCTGCGAAAGGCGTTAGCGGCCCTTCAACCCTCGCCATCAGCACCGGCGACATTCGCGACACTGCAGCAGCTGGAATCGAAACACCCCCAACCCCAAAATGACCTGCCCGACTGGGTCCACTCCTACACGACACCCACACAATTTTCAACCACCCTGGAAAGCTTTTCGGACGTCCTCGGGGAATGCCCCAGGGGAATTGGGGCTGGCCCATCGGGGTCAACCTTCGAACACTACCGCGATCCAGCGCTAAGTAACATCGAGGTACTAGGGCACCTCCACTCCGCCGTTAAACACCTTCTCTCGACAAACCTTTCCACCGAGGTTGCAGCCCTACTCGCCCCGTCCCGCCTTATAGCCTTCGCCAAACCAGGGGGGGGGGTACGCCCAATCGCGATTGGAGAAACATTGCTTAGGCTGGCGGCGAAAGTGGCACTCTCAGACCTGCAAGGAGAAACGCGAAAATTTTTCCTACCTCAGCAATTTGGCGTGGCAGTCCCGGGAGGTGCTGAGTTCGTCATCCATGCAGTCAGAGACCTCACCACCGTGCATCCCTCCAGCCTAGTCCTCCAACTCGACATTGAGAACGCGTTCAACTCAGTCGAGAGGAGCGCGTTCTTCAACGCACTTATCGGCTCCCCGCTAGCCCCCCTCATCCCCTTCACACGCTCTTTCTACGCATGAGCATGAGCGCTGCTGCTGGACCCATGCTTCAATTCCACGGCACTCACCAGCGGAAGAGGAGTCGCACAGGGGGATCCCCTCGCACCCCTGCTACTCGCGGCGTCTATCCAGCAGCACCTCAGGCACGTGGCAGCGGAGCACCCGGAAGTCACCGTCCTCGCGTACGCAGACGACATAACCATGATTGGACCCGCGACGGCGACGCTAGACGCGCTAAGGGAGCTCACGCCGCTACTAGCACAGGATGGCCTCACCTGCAACTTTATGAAGTCGTCGGCGTGGTCCTCCATGCCGCTTGGAGGTGTCGTGCTCCCTGAAGGCCTCCCCCACACCCACGAGGGGGTACGGGTGTTGGGAAGTCCTGTGGGGTCACAGAGCTTCTGCTCTGCCTTTGTCCGCAGTACCCTGACAGACGCGGCAGCCCCCTTGGGTTCCCTGGCGTCCATCCACCCACAACATGCCCTCCTGCTACTGTCCCGTTGCATCAGCCGCAGAATTGGCTACCTGCTACGCACTACCCCAGCAGACGTCTTACCCCTCTCGGAATGGCACACATGGTGCTCCGAACTACTGCACACGGCCTTGACCGCCGCCAGCATTCAACCGCCACGCCGAGAAGCCGAGTTCAACTTCCTGCTCCGACAAGCAACTCTTCCAGTCGCCCTGGGCGGGCTGGGACTTACAAACCCCACAACAGAAGCAGCACCGGCCTACCTGGCATCAACGACGGAGGCGCTACGACTGCTCCGCTCCCTTGACCTACCAGCAACCGCGGCACTGGGGGCCAACAACAACACCCTGCAGCCGTCCGCAGCGCACTCAGTAACCATCCAGGACATGGAGGGGCGCCTGCCACCGCTGGCGCTACAAAACCTCCGGGAGGAGCAGCAAACCCCGTCCCAAGACCAGCTGCAACGCGCCCTCTCTCAGGAGGTGCACGCGGCAAAGGCCGACGCCTTGACAGAGGAGTCACGCACCATCCAGTCAGCCCCCGAGATGGGTCACTCACTCCGCCTCATCAGCCTGAGAGGGGAGGGAGCGGGAGCATGGCTGCAGGCCCTACCTTTGACCCCGGACCTTTGCTTCTCACCGGGACAATTCCGAGCAGCCCTGGCCTTCCGCATGGGCATCCGACAGAATGTACCCGCTGTGTGCGAGTGTGGAGAACTCGTAGCCGACTGCAGCCTACCCAACCACCTACTCCGCTGCAGCACAGGCCCCGACAGGACACGCACACACAACCAGCTAGCTTTTGCCGTGGCTAAAATGGCAAGGGAAGCACAGCTGGTGGTATACCTGGAGAACGCCATGTACTCACCGCCGGATGACCCGAAGAAAGCCGATGTGATTGTACGCGACCCGGACAGTGGAGAGACTTGGATCACAGACACCACTATCACAGACCCCGTGCTGCAGAACCGGGACCCCACAGCCCGCAAACCCCCAGGCTGGGCTGCTAGAGAGGCACAGAGGCGGAAGGAGAGGGAGTACTACCGACACACGGAACACGTGGTGTTCTGCGCCCTAGCCGTCGAGACCTACGGGGCAAACGCGCCCACCACGACTGCGTTCCTGAAGCTGCTGGCCACAGCAGCAGCTAGGAACCGGTTCAGGGCCAACCCCCTGGCGAAATCGGCCAAGAAGATGGCCTGCCACTTCAGCCAGCGCTGGTCAGTGGCCCTCCAGCGCTCCCAGGCTAATGCCCTGCACACCAAGGCCAGGGCTGGGATCGAGGCAGCGCACCCCCAGATGGCAGCGGACCCCTGGCCGCTGCACCTGGGGGACATCCTCCACACGCTGGAGGGCTAGAGGGTCACTCAGGGGGGGGGGTGAAGAGTGGTAAGTTTTGGGCTTAAGGGATAGAGGTTATCATGGATAGCACCGCATGTTTGTACCCCTGCTGAATTAATACAAATGACCGTTTGAGAGAGAGAGAGAGAGAGAGAGAGAGAGAGAGAGAGAGAGAGAGAGAGAGAGAGAGAGAGAGAGAGAGAGAGAGAGAGAGAGAGAGGATTAGCCTCTCCCCTTCTACCCTCTGCCCTCTGTTTCCAGCCTTCTGCCATGAGTACTTAAGGCCTCGGTGGCCTCTTCATCTCTCATTCTTTCAGTTGGTGCTGAAAATTTCGGTGTTTCGCTCGAGAGAGCGAGAGAGAGAGGATTAGCACCCACCTGCGCCCGCCTCCCCACCTGACTGGATATTTCCCACACCAGACCCTCACCTCTCGGCGCCTTACGAGGTCTTCTCCAAGGTTTTGGGTCGGTGTGAGATGGGAGTAGGAGCTGGGCCATCAGGAACAACATTCAAACACCTGCGGGACGCATCTCTAATCAACGCTTCAGTGGGGAAGCACCTGCATGCGCTAGTCAACACCATACTCACTGGAAAATTACCTCTCGCAATAGCCGAACTCCTCACCGCCTCTCGCCTGATTGCCCTTACCAAACCAGTAGGGGGGACGAGGCCGATAGCCATCGGCGAAAGCATCACTCGCCTCACTGCCAAAACAGCTCTTACCTTGACGGCGGGCGCCGCTCGAGATTTCTTCTTACCTCATCAATTCGGTGTAGCGGTTCCAGGGGTAGCAGAGGCGATCATCCACATCACGCGAACCTTTCTTACCGTCAACCCTGGAGCGCTCGTTCTGCAGGCCGACCTGGCGAACGCTTTCAATAGTGTTAACCGAGAGGCCATGGCGGAGTCGCTTCGAGGTTCGACGCTAGCTCCGCTACTGCCACTCGTAAAACTGTCATATGGCCACCCCTCTTCCCTATGCCTGGATGCCGGATTCTCGCACCCACCACTCTTGAGCGAAACCGTGGTGAGGCAGGGAGATCCCCTCGGCCCCTTGCTGTTTGCTGCCGCCATTCACCCCGCGTTGACAAGCACGGCACTTACCTTCCCGTCCGTGGTATGCCTGGCATACGCGGACGACGTCACTTTTCTTGGAGAAGCAACGGCTTGTGCGGCGGCGTTTGGGCACTTCACAGGAAGCCTTGGGGAGATTGGGCTACAACACAACCCCGCTAAGTGTGCGGCATGGTCACAGGCAGGCCGTCAGTCAACACCCCTGCCGCAGGGCGTACCTTTCATTGATGACGGCGTGAAGGTGCTGGGCAGCTTCGTCGGCGGAAACGACGCAACTGCAACGTTCCTACGCGACAGCCTTAACACAATGGGAGCCCCACTTCGCCTAATTGCGAGAATGGAGCCACAGCTGGCGTCTCTCCTGCTTACCAGATGCATCTGGCGGCGAGTCTCCTATGTCGCGCGCACCACTCCGCTCTCTCCCTTGCCAGTGGAGGAATGGTCGGACTGGGGCAAGGGATTGTTTGACACACTGTTGACGGCTTGCGGCATTCGACACCCACGGGGGGAGGCTGAGATAGCACGGACCTGGGCCCAAGCCTCACTCCCGATCTCACTTGGAGGCTTGGGTCTGACGGACCCGTTGGTGGAGGGTCGCGTAGGGTTCTTGGCGAGCTACACGCAGGCGCAGCATTTGCTCACCTCCATTGACGAGGCGGCGGTCGGCGCCTTGGCAGAAACACGGATCCAGATGGCGGGACCCTACCTCAACACGTCCCCGCTGTTTGACTGGTTGGAGAGGTGCGAGGAGATGTTGCCGGAGGACGGGAAGGAGCTGCTGCAGAGCGACCGCGCCGAACCCAAAGGCATCAAGCTGCAGCACGGGCTGGCAATCGCGGTCCACGCACGCCGCTACGCCGAGCAGGTCCAAACCACGCGCGACATGCCGCTCAACCCCCTTAGCGGGCACACGCAACGTATGCTCTCCCTCTCGGGGTATGGGGCAGGGGACTGGCTCAACGCGGTCCCCTTTAACAAGTCGCTGCGCCTGGCTCCAGATCACTTCGCCCACGCACTGCAGTTCCGAATGGGGCTTCCCTCCTCTGCACCTGGGGCTTGTGACTGCCGCAACAACACGGCAATCACAGACCGACGGCTGCCCAACCACCTTCTGCGCTGTGACACAGGGAAGGGGAGGACCAACACCCATAATGAGCTGCGGGATGAGTGCCTCCGGATGGCCAACGACGCGGACTTCATGACTCATGGAGAGACAACCGCATTCTGCCCCGTCACTAGGAAGAAGGCGGACATAGCAATCAGGGACAAGTCCTCGGGGGCGGTTTGGATTGGGGACGTGACAATCACGGACCCCATCAGCACCCGTGACCCCAACGCAGTCAAGGGAAGGGGGTGGGCAGCCCGTGAAGCGGCGGAGAAGAAGATCTCCGACTACGAAGGCTCAACGGCTTCGTGGGTCGGATTCTTCCCACTCGCCGTTGACACCTACGGCTGCCCTTGCGAGGAGGTGCCCCAATTCTTCAAGCTGTTAGCCGAGACCGCCGCCCGCAGGCTCTTCAACGCGGCCCCCTCATCCTACCAGGCTACGAAGCTGCTGCACCAGTTCCGCCAGAGGTGGTCCGTGGCGCTGCAGCGTGCTCAGTCGGTGAGCTTTATGGAGAAATGCAACTACGCGGCACAGGTGGAGAACCCACCTGCGGAGATGCCAGGCGAGGGCATGTCCCTTGGGGACTGCCTGGCCATCTTAGAGCCGGTGCTGGAGCTCCCTTAGACGGAGCAGAGGGGGAGGGGGGTGAGGGGGATGTGTGGGTTAGAAGATGATTTGTATGAGTAGCATCTCTATCCTTTGCATGTCTGTATTTGCTTGGATCTAATACACGGACCGCTTGAGAGAGAGAGAGAGAGAGAGAGAGAGAGAGAGAGAGAGAGAGAGAGAGAGAGAGAGAGAGAGAGAGAGAGAGAGAGAGAGAGAGAGAGACGTTGCTGACTGCCTGCGGCATTCGCCACCCACGGGGGGAGGCCGAGATTTCACGTACCTGGGCGCAAGCGTCACTCCCCATCTCGCTCGGTGGTTTGGGACTCACAGACCCTTCGGTGGAGGGTCGTGTTGGGTTCCTTGCAAGCTACACGCAAGCGCAGCACCTGCTCACCTCCATTGATGAGTCGGCCGTCGGCGCCTTGGCGGAAACGCGGGTCCAGATGGTGGGGCCCTTCATCAACACGTCCCCGCTCTTTGACTGGTTGGAGAGGTGTGAGGAGTCACTGCCGGACGATGGGAAGGAGCTGCTGCAGAGCGATCGGGCTAATCCCAAGGGCGCCAAGCTGCAGCATGGGCTGGCAATCGCGGTACACGGACTGCGCTACGCGGAGCAGGTGCAGGCTACACGCATCATGCCACTCAACCCACTAAGCGGGCACACTCAGCGCATGCTTTCACTCTCAGGGTATGGGGCAGGAGACTGGCTCAACGCGGTCCCCTTCAACTCGACACTGCGGCTTGCCCCGGCTCACTTTGCGCATGCGCTGCAGTTCAGGATGGGGTTACCCTCCTCGGCACCTGGCGCGTGTGACTGCCGCAATAAGACGGCAATCCTTGACAGGCGCCTGCCCAACCACCTGCTGCGCTGCGACACGGGGAAGGGGCGGACCAACACGCACAATGAGTTGCGCGATGCGTGTGTACACATGGCCGCCGACGCTGACTTCATGACTCACAGCGAAACGACTACGTTCTGCCCCGTCACTCTGAAGAAAGCCGACATTGCGATCCGGGACATCCTCAGGAGCGGTGTGGATAGGGGACGTGACCATCACGGACCCCATCAGCACACGGGATCCCAACGCGGTCAAGGGCAGGGGATGGGCGGCCAGGGAGGCGGCGGAGAAGAAGATCTCCGACTACGAGGGCTCAACGGCCTCGTGGGTCGGGTTCTTCCCCCTTGCCGTTGATACCTATGGCTGTCCTTGCGCGGAGGTCCCTCAATTCCTCAAACTTCTGGCCGACACCGGCGCGCGCCGGCTCTTCAACGCGGCCCCCTCATCTTACCAGGCAACAAAGCTGCTGCACCAGTTCCGCCAGCGGTGGTCCGTGGCGCTGCAGCGGGCGCAGTCAGTGAGCTTCATGACGAAGTGCAACTACGCGGCTCAGGTGGAGAACCCACCTGTGGCGCTGCCGGGCGAAGGAATGTCCCTCGGGGACTGCCTTGCCATCCTGGAGCCGGCATTGGAGCTGCCTTAGAGGGTGAAGGAGGGTAGGTAGGATGTGGGGGTTTTAGAAGCTGAGATGCATTGCTTCTTATATCCTTGTGCATGTCTGTACCTTGCTCGGATCTAATACACGGACCGCTTGAGAGAGAGAGAGAGAGAGGGGGGGGGGGGGTAGAGGGAAAAGAGCACTCACGCGTGGCCGGTGTTGATCTTGATGCCATCATGGTTGCGAATGCACACAGCGCCGTCAATAGTGAGGCCCGAGGTCGTGAAGTCCAGGTAGTGACAGTGCGTCGTGCCCACGATGTAGTTGCACGTGTCCAGATTGCCTGCGCCGCGGGGACCGAGATGGAGACGGGGACGGGACGGCGACGGGAAAGTGGGGGAAAGAGAGAGCGGGACGGAGATGAGGGATAGGCGCGGTAAGGTCGAGCGGGGAGCTCGGGATGGTGAATGGGGAAAGAAAACAATGGGGCGAAGGGGAAGGGGTGTTGAGCGGGGGTGGGGAGGGTTGAGGGGGGGTAAGGGGAAGGGGGACGGAGGGAGCAGCCACGCGCTCCGCGGACTCACCAGGGTTGTACCAATGCAGATCGTAATAGATCCCGGCGCCGTCGCCGTTGTTGGTGGGGTAAGCGGGGCCGGGGATGATGTAGTTATCCTGGATGGTGTTGAGCATGCAATCCGCGACGTTGCTGTCGCCCATGCCGCACTGCACGCCGCAGAACTGAAAGTCCGTGATGTAGTTGTTCGCGATGATGGTGCCCACGGTCCCCGCGTACATCATGATCGACGTCCACGCGCCTGCGCCGGGAGCAGCGGGGTGGACCGGGAAAGCGTAGGGGAAACGTGGGAGAGAGGTGATGAGGGCTATGCGCTCGCCGGGTATGTGATGTGATCGACGTTCACGCGCCGCGGACGACCAGGAGGAGGGATGAAAAAACGCGGGAGGAAGAGGGAGAACGAGAGAATACGGGGGAAGCATGGGGAAGGCGGGGGGAAATAAGGGGGAAACGGAGATGACGGCGTTGAGGGTGCGTGCGTACAGAAAGATTGACGCACGGAAGCAGGCAAGCAAGTAGGCACGCGGGCAAGCAGGCAGGGAGGGAAGGAAGCGCACCGCGGATCTCGCTGTTGACGACCTTGTTGAGCGAGCGGATGAGGTTGACGGGGTCGCCGTTGACGGCGAAGCGGATGCACGAGTAGCTGAAGAGCGTGCCGTCCAGATAATCCACCACGTGCTTCTGGTACGAAAACTCCACCGCGCCCGACCGATACACGTCCGTGCGCCCCTGCACTTGCCCCTGCGGATGTGCGGAATGTGCGGGGAGAGGCGGGGAAGTGGGGGGGAGGGGGAGGAAGGCGGGGGGAGGGGAGGGGGTTGGAGGAGGGGGAGGAGGGAAAAGCGAGGGATGGAGATTAAGCGGCGGAAGCTGAAGGGGTGAGAAGGGACGGGGAGGAGGATAAAGCGGGAGAGATGGGGGAGCGACGGGGAAGAGGCGGAAAGCAACGGAGAAGCGACGGAGAAACGGCAGGGAGACGACGGGGAAGCGACGGGGAGCAAGGCGGAAGTGCCGGGTGGCTCTGGTGCGGGCTGCATCCTTGCAAGGGCGCCGGCGGGAGAGAATGCCCGCGCGGAAAAGTCGTCAGAAACGCGGCAGCAACAGCTTGCGTGGCGCGCAGGCATACACGCGCAAAGGGAACAAACAAGCAACCGCGGGGGAAACAAAACGAACCCGCAAACAGACGCGGGGTTGCGCGGGTACATCGTACTAGCATGCGCGCACCATTTCCCCATCCCTCCCCATCAACCCTCCCGCTTATCCTACCCCTTTCCCCGCTGCCCCCTCCCCCACTCCCCCCATTGCCCCACTTCCCCCTTCCCATTCCCCTTCCCATCCCCCTTCCCTTCCGCGCGCCGCTCACATTGGAGAAAGTGACCGCCCATCCGCGGTAGATGTGTAGCACGGGGCACGTCCAGCGCGACGGGAACTCGGGCAGCCCGCCGCACGCCACCATGCCGGTGTTCGTCCACGGGAATCCAATCCCGATCCCGACAAACTGCATGTTCGTCGCGCTCTCCACCCGCACCGCGGGCGAGTTGACGTTATCGAGCCAGATCCAGGGCATGGACGTGAGTCCCGGTTGCGGGCGGATGATGGTGCAGGAATACGACGCGTTGAACCAAACCACGGTGGAGGTCGTGATGTTGCCCGTTAGGTACATGACGACCGTCGTGTTCGGCGTGTACTGCAGCCGCTGCGCGAAATCCGCGGCGGTCGAGACGGTCAGCGGCACGGGCGTCGCGGAGCACGGGCCGCGCGTCGGAACCTTGATGACTCCGCCTGGCGTTGAAGAGGGGAAGGGGGACGGATGGCGGGGACGGCAGGGGGAACGGGGTTGGGGTGGGAGAAGGGAAAAAGGGAGGGTGGGAGGGGTTCGAGGGGGGAAGCGGTCGGGGGAGGTGTTGGAAGAGGAGAAAGGTTTGGGAGGCGGGGATGAGGTGGAAGGGGAGAAGAGGGAGGAGGAGGGGGCGAGCAAGAAGAGAAACAGACCAAGCCCGAGTTGACAGCAAAAGAAAGCGAGGACTGCTGCTCGGTCGCGAAACCATAGCGACGCACGGGAAACACGCCGAGAAACGCGGGCAAGATTCGCCGAAAATTAGCGGCGACCTCCCGTCGCACGGGGCGCAGTGGAAGACGAGGGGGCGGCTCACGGCATGCAAGCAAGTTACGAAGCTTAAGAGTTCTGAGACAGGGCAGAGAATCTCGCGGCATGCAGCCGGAAAAGACGCTGTGCCCGTTAGGTACTTCGCTAGGCGAGGCGAAGCGCGGCGCGGCGCGGGAGGAGAAGAGGCTATGGACGGACTAAAACATATCAGTCGCGGAGCGCGTGAGCGATGACAGAGGGCGAAGGGGGGGAGGAAGGCGAAAAAGAAGCAAGGGAGAAGGGCATCTTGAGACGAGTGGAGAAGGCCGATTAAGTCGGGGTGGAAGTCATGAGTAATGACTTCTGAGTCGACTCAAAGGACAACTTGAGACGACTGGAGATGAGCGATAAGAACAGGGTTGAAGGGAACTGAAGACCGGGAGTGGAGGGACGCGGGAGGGGAACGAGAGCTTTGAAGGACGAGGAGGTTCGAGGCTGATCCGCGGCCAAGATAACTTCTACGGCAGCGGGGACGGAGCAGGGAGACGGGAGACGGGAGAAGCGAGTAGCGGAGGAAGGGTGCGAAGCGCGGTGAGCGGGGAGAGCATTGAAGGGCGGCTACGAACCAGGGTTAAGAGCGCCGGCATCGGCCACTGGCACGTGGATGCTGGCGAGAAGCGCAGCGACGCAGAGTACCAGTGGCAGCAGCAGAAGCTGCTGCCGCTGAAGTCGCGTCATTGCTTGTTCGCTGGCTCGCTGGCTAGCGCGGAGAAGGAGCAGGTGAAAGCGGCGACGTGGATTCAAAATGTGTAACGGAGGATTATTTCGTGATAGGGAGGCTCAGGATACTACGAGCACACACTGGAAGAGTCGGAAAGAGTGGTATGAATAGGGAGGGCGTGAATGTGGAAGGTGGGTGTGGAAGGTGTAGGGTGAGATGGGGGGAATCCCCAGACGGAAGAACACTGAGCCCAGAGAGGGTGATTCGTGGATGACTTTTCGTGAGCATTAAGCAAGGAAACGCGTTCGACAACCTCTCTCAGGCAAGAAAGAGGCTAGGGTTGGAGTTGGGGTGGGGGGGAATGGGATGGGAGGGAGACAAGACGACTGGGAGGGACGAACTGATGAAACGGAAATTGGAATGCATGGGTGGACGCACTGGGCGGTGCTGAAGAAAAAAATCGCTGTCGCTGCACTGTAGCTCTGTAGCTCCCAGCCAGAATGGACTGCGATGATGCATGGTTGTGGTTTTGGTGGTTGGTTTGACATGAGGGGCGCAAGTGCTGCTGCTGTGGTGGTCGGGGAGTCGGGCAAAAGAGGTCTGGGGGACGGACTCTGGGCTGTGGGAAGACTCTGATCTGCTCTGGTGAGGGGTCAGGTCAGTCGTCAGGAGTCGATGTTGCCCACCAGCTAAACCCGGAAGCGGGTTAGGCGAACGGAGGACTGTGAGCATTCGTTACTTTGATACGATAAGAAAAATGCTTACAGATCCGTAGGGCTGGTTTGAGCTCTCCACATGCTGAATTGATGTTCTGTGCTTATTTCCACAACGAGAGCATTTCCGATAGGTGGGTTGGTGTACATTTCCGACTTTTAAGTAACGAACGGGGGCGCACAAGAAACGGATGGGTGGGTAATTAGTTGGGAGCTCTGTTGGGATGGGGAAAGGTAGAAACGCACCTGGAGATGGCTGGCTTGCGGAAGTCCTTTCCGGGCAGGAAGAATAATGGAGGTTGGTGTTTTCCTTGGCGGCGGAGTATGACAGCCAATGAGTGTAGCCAACATGGGCAATGTGGGAGGACAGGTCGGATCTCAGGGGCACAATAACGCACTGTACACGTACCTGCAACGTGAAACAGCATGCACTGTAACAGCCATCCAGTCAAACCTCTCTGTTTCAGGAAGCTTAGGGCAAAAAATGTTACTGTATACATTTGCGAAGCCGAAATTATGGGCTTGGTACAGATAGACGAATTGACTTATCCTTTGGCTTAGAGGTTGAGCAATCGATCAAGAAGCTGAATCGCTTATCTAACAAAGCTTTGTGTCCCTGCCCGAACTTGCTGGTAACCGTGGGCAACCTGCGGCTCCAGCTACAGAATCGTGGGTCACGCACACCTGGCAGACAGCACAGTGCAAGTGATTTTGCGAAACGCCGAATCCGCTCGTCCCAAGGACTCCCAGCTTTCCTATGTGGGTTCGGATGGAAACCTCGCATAGCAGGATCAAAAGACGCGCGTTGGCTGAATTGGCCTCGGTTGTGTTCTGTATTACACACCAAATTGAACAACCGGAACACCCACCTGACCAACAGCCGGAATTTGTCCTCATCCAAGGCCTTGCACATTTATGCCAGCATGTTACGGGTGCAATGAATCGAAGTAGCGAGAATTGCACTAAGGTGTCAAACGAGTACAAAGATGTGAGCGAAGGCATGAGCTAACATTTATACGCGAAACATGCAAACGGTAACGCGGTGCGTGCGAGCTAGCTAGTGCTATGCTGGCAGCGAGGCTCGGGCTAGTCCCGAAGCGTAGGCCGACACGGCCGGGCCAGCAGTGCGAGGTTTGGCAAAACAGTGCGCGCGAAGTTGGCGAAGTCCCGTTAGCAGTAACGGGCGAACAACGGCTGTTGCTGTACGCGATGTAGTCGGGCTCCGTAAGGAATGCCGAGAAAATTCCTTACACTACCCCCCCCCTCAAGAAGCCCCTCCGCTACGCGAGTGCGTATATATCGCGGAATCCCCGGCTCCTCAGGTACACTTGCAGGGCAGGGTGGTTTTCAATGTTGGCCAGGGGCACCCAGCTATCTTCAGTTGGCGTGTGGTCCTTCCAGCGAACGAGCAATTCAATCCTCCTGATTCCCGTGGGGTGTCGAATCCGATGGCTCAGGATTTTTTCGGGCTCGATGATCGGCTCCGATGCAGGGCGAGTCATGGATGGCGGGCGGTGGCGAGGCAGTTGGCTTGTGGTTGGGATGTATGGGCGAAGCAAGCTGACGTGGAACGAAGGGCTGATGTACCAGTCGGTCGGTAACAGTAGGTGCACGGTTACTGGCGTAATCATGTGGCTGATTTGAAATGGGCCACAGTAGCGCGGTCGAAGTTTTGGTACGTCGGGCAGTCGCAGATTTTGCGTGTCGAGCAGTACGTAATCCCCTGACTGGTATGTGACTGGGCGGCGGTGGCGGTCAGCGTTGCGCTTAGCGATGACGTTTGCTTTTTTAATTGCTTCTGCGGCTCTGGTGCGGGCAGCTTGCAGAATTTCGGCGAATTGCTGTGCACGTGGTGTGGGGTTGTCCGGACTCGACGTCATGGGCACTGTAGGATTTTGCCCGTAGTTCAGGTAGAAGGGGGACTGCTGCGTCGTCGCTGACGTGGCGTTGTTGTACGCGAACTCGATCAGCGGCAGCTGCTGTTCCCAAGTCGTGGGGTCGTCGCACGTGGCACGAATCAACTGCTCCATCGTCTGATTCGTCAGCTCCGTTTGACCGTCGGTCTCGGGGTGGTACGACGAACTGAACTGTAGCCAGGTCCCGAACTGCTCCCAGAGGTTCTTCCAGAAGTTGCTGGTGAACTTCGTGTCCCCGTCGCTGATAATCGCTGCTGGTATCCCGTGCAGGCGAACAACGGCTGCGATGAACAGACGAGCGGTCTCCTCGGCTGAGATCGACTTTTTGCACGTAGCGAAGTGTGCCATCTTCGTCAACCTGTCAACGACGACCATCGCTGCGTCGTTACCCCCAGGGTTCGAAGGTAACCCTGTGACAAAGTCCATGGTAACCTGCTGCCGGGCGCGCTCGGGCGGTGGTATTGGCTGCAATTGACCCGCCTTCCTTTTCCTCGAGCTCTTCATCACCTGACACGTGGGGCACGAGCCCACGTGCTGCTGCACGTCGGTCAACAGCTCCGGCCAGTAGTAATACCGCTGCAGTTGCTGTCGCGTTTTTTCTACCCCAAAATGTCCCGAGGTAATTCCGTCATGTGCCTCCTGCAGTAGCAGCTCCCTCAGCAGTGAGTACGCGGGTACCCAGATGCGGTTGGTGCCTGTTTTTACGTAATAAACTCCTTTAGCTTCTGCCAGTTGCTGTGAATTTCCGGTCGTGAAAAACGGGTCGGTGCGGTATCCGTGGGTGAATAGGCCTGTTAAAAGCGGGTTGGTTTGGGCGAGTAGGATGGCATGGAGTTGGGCGGTAGGGCGGGTGAGTGCGTCGGCGATGTTGGATGCGCCTTTCTTGTACGTAACCGTGTATTGGAAGTTGGACTCGAGGTAGTCCAACCAGCGAATCTGTCGTGGATTGAGATTCGGTTGGGCACGTAAGTACTGTAGTGATCGGTGGTCTGTCCGTACTGTCACGTCGGCGCCAGTCAGGTAACACCGCCAAACCTTGAACGCGTGCACGATCGCCAACATTTCGCGGTCGTGTATCGGGTAATTGCGTTCGGGCGGGTGCAGCTTGCGGGACTCGTACGCGATTGGCTGGAGGCCGTTCCCGAAATCCTGCAACAGTACTGCTCCCACAGCGATGTCACTTGCGTGGTGACGAGCTCGAACGGACGGTGTGGATCTGCGATGTGAAGCACGGGCGGTGAGCACAAAATGTTTTTGAGGGCCGAGAAGGCAGCTTGCTCTTTCTCCCCCCACGTGTACTCAACCCCCTTCCTGAGCAGGTCTGTCAGCGGGGCAGTCAGCTTCGCCATGTCGGGGACGAACCGGCGCACGAAGTTGACGAACCCCAAAAAACTCTGCAACTCGGTCAAGTTGGTCGGCGCGTGCCTTGCTTGAATCGTCGCAATTTTCTTCGGGTCTATTTCCACTCCTGCAGCTGAAATAACGTGTCCCAAAAATTCCAGGCGGTCCTGTAAAAACTCACACTTAGACGCTTTTGTCAGTAGGCGGTTCTCACTCAGTAATTTAAAAACTGCTTCGATGTCCTGTAAGTGCTGTGCTCTGTCAGGGCTGTAAATCAGTATGTCGTCCAGGTATACGATGACGCACTTATCTAAGAGCGGGCGGAAAGCTTCGTTCATGGTCATTTGAAAAGTGGCGGGGGCGTTGGTCAGTCCGAAGGGCATGACGGTGTATTCGAAGGATCCGTAGCGTGTTCGAAATGCGGTCTTAGGGCAGTCGGGCGGATTGACGCGAATCTGGTGGTAACCCCCTCGGAGGTCGATTTTCGAGAAAACCCGGGCTGTGCGCAGTTGGTCGATCACTTCGTCGGCTCGCGGGATGGGGTAACGGGATTTGATGGTAACCCTGTTCAGTGCTCTGTAATCTATGCACATGCGAAATCCCCCGTCTTTTTTCGGTGTGAACAGTATCGGTGCTGCGAAGGGCGACGAACTAGGGCGAATGAATTCCTTCTCGAGCAGGTAATCGAGCTGCTTCCTCAGTTCGTCCAGTTTGGGCTGGGTCAGTCGGAACTGTCGCTGTACTGTTGGCTGTGCCCCCGTCTACGAAGATTTTTACTAAGTCCGTCCCGATTTTCCCACTAAGCAGTATGGGGCTGTCTACCGTAGTACCCTCCTTATTCGGCCGGGTGTGGTCGATTGCGTGAATCGGCACAATCACTCGGTGAGGGTCGGTTGGGTCGGGCGAGCGGCGTGACCTGTCAGTAGAGGGCCCGTCTGCTACTGACTCCCAGCGTTTCCCTGCTGCTTGGTCTGTTTCTGCTGCTCAGCTTCCCCCTTTCCCTTAGCGTTTTCCGGGCATTCGCTCTTGCGATGTCCCGGCCGATTGCACGCAAAGCAGCGCCCTTTGAATGGTGCGGCAGCGGCATTTGCGGCGACGGCACGTATCGTGGCGCCCTCGTTCGTCCCACGAGGCCGATGTCCCCAATGGCTGCTTCCGTAGGACCCCAGTCTCGGTCGGCGGAAGAAGTCAAGTTTCTCCGCCATAGCGAGAATTTCTTGAAAGTCGGTGACGCCGCGGAGCTGGATTTCCTGAGCGATGTCCTGCTTCAGGCCGCCGATGTAGCGGTCGATGCGCTCGCTCTCGTGCATATATCCCA